CTCTTGTTCACAGTCCCGTCCACTATTAGTATCGTTCACATGATGATAATGTGGCTCCGAAGTTTGCTTGCTGACGACATGTTCACTCTTGGGCTCCTCGGGGGCCTGGGCATCTGGTCGAGATATGTGAGACGGGATGCACCAGGCCAGTGGGCAGGAAGCGTTGTCATCAAAAATCCGAAAGGCCTCGTCTGCACTGTTGAGCTCACTCGGCATCCAGCGGACGACGAGACGAATATTGCGAGCCACGAGGTAAGCATTGATACACCTGATGACTGCCAACATGGAATAATCTTTTGAGCGAGATCGGCAGATCAACAGTGCAACTCCCATGTTGTCGCACAGATGCAAGTGCCTGATGTCGTGCCCCCACCGCGTCTAGGCGAGGCGACGCACGGCGGCCAGGACAGCGCGGGCTTCTAAAATGGCGATGCCCTCGGCCCTGACCCAAACGCCGCTGCGGCACAGGCTCCAGCGCGCCTGGTCCAGCCACCCAGCGGGCACCTCCTCGAAGTCCTCGTCGAGTGCCCAGGCGCCTGCAGAGGCCTCCTCGGGCGCCGATGGGCGCCATGGCCCGGCGCCGACGCCGTCGACGAAGCCGGCGTGCTGCATGGCGCGCTTGCGCGGGGCCAGCTCCAAGTCAAGGCGGAACCGGCCCCGCTCGGCCACGCGCCCCACGCGGGCGAACTCCCCGGCGTCTATCATGGTGGAGGTGACGCCGAAGCCGCTCTCGGACGCATCAGAGGCGGTGACGCAGCGGTTCCAGGGCAGCACCCAGTCGCTGCTGAGGAAAACCAAGAGGCCTCGGAAGCAGCTGAGCTCCTCGCGCACGGAGGTCCACATCTCCTGCCGCTCCCAGTATGTGGCCTGAATGAAAGCGTAGCTGGCCGAGAAAACGCTGAGCACCCCGCGCCTCGCCAGGCCGGCGTAGGTGCAATGGCCCAGGAGGCGCTCCAGGTCCCGGCCAGAGAGCTTGCCCCGCTGCGAGGCGTAGACCAGAGCCCTCTCAAGGAGGCAGCGCCGCTTGCCGGCGATGGCGGCGCAGAGGCGCTCGCAGTCCACGACCGCGCCGAGGGCCGCCCCCTTCGACTCGAAGAGCTCCACCTCGTGGATGTCGAGCCGCAGCTTGTTGAACGCCGCGACCTTCTCGTCCAGCGCCCCCCTGACCGCTCCCGGATCCTGCCCGAGCACCCAAGTTGTAGTGCCAGAAGCCCTGCACGCGGACGTCGCGTCGCCCAGCCGGAAAACCATGGGCTCGCCGCGGTCGGCGGCCGACCTGGCCTCTCGCAAGAGATCGCACTGCCGCGCCGGGTTAGTTTTCGCGTTCTGGCAGAAGTAGAGCGACCAGGAGCACCCCGTCGGCAGGGCTCTGCAGCACGGGTATATCAAATCATCGCCGCTTGCCACGCGGCCTTCCACTGTCTCCGCTGAGTCCAGGCGCATCTCGCTGACCGTCAATGCTGGGAAGGCGAAATAGAGGCTCATCCAGGACGGCATCGCCATCCTGTGGAAACAGTTCTCGACATCGCCAACCCCGAGACACAGGCGGAGCGCTGGCAGAATGCCCAGGCCCGTGTCCATCAGCAGACACGGGTCGTCGTCGACAACGACCTCGAGGCGCGACAGGCCTTCCGCCGTCAGCAGATCCACCCGCGGAGGAAGAGAGAAGCGCTGGTTGGCAGGGCGCCAATCTGTAATCATTATCATCTTCTGTCTGCCCTTCTTCCATGCAAAGAAGGTCGCAACGAATTCAGCAAGTTCCGACGTAAATCGCAGCATGCCAATCGAGTGCAGCCCCCCACGAAGTGAACCAGCAACCGCCTACTCTTTGTGAGCGCAGGGTCCAGGTGAGGCTGCACTGGGTCGCTCTGGCGGAGACGTTCAAAATCTGGGACGCTGCGCAGCATCCGCTTTCCACGACCCTCCAAAAAACGCAGGCCCTCGGCGTCGAACAGCGGTTCCAGGCGCGGCGCGTCCCAGGTGCTCTCCGGCAACGAGACAAGCCCGAGCTGGATGGGAGCTACGTTCGGCTGGCCTGGCTCTTCATACGAGCCGCGACCTCGGAGCAGCTCGAGATAGGCCGCTCTCGGCGAAGGCGCGTCCGGCGCCGGTTCCTGGGCTCGTACCAGTCCGTCGACGCGCGCAGTCACTTCGCTGTGGATGTCAGCGCCGCCGCCGCTGCCGACCGCAGGCGAGCCGGACGCCCTCGCCAGCCACCAGCCGAACGCGCAGATGACGACCTCGCAGTCCGCGGCTGAGGCGACCTCCTCCACGCGCTGGTCGTGGCTCCTCCAGCCGCGGCAAGGGGAACAAGTGACGTTCGCCGCGAGAGGAGGCTGGGAGGCGCCCAGCACCGGGCACGCCCCTCGGCCATCTCCTTACTCATGCCTTCTCGGCGGCCGAGGGGCTGCCGGCCATGGGCAGTCCAGCCCGACCGCGCCCCCGGCCGCCGTCACGATCCCGGCCCCGGCCCTTAGGCCCCTCGCCGGCTGCGCCGTCAGGCGCCTCCTCGCTGCCAGAGGCGCCGCCGGCGCCTGGGAGCCCACGCGCGCGCTGAGCCCCAGTCTCCAGGTCGATCTCCTCCTTGGCGCGCTTGGCCCCGCACTGCCTCAGCTCGGGCGCGATGGCATCCACGGCGGCGGTCACGCCACTGTAGAACCGAGCCATCTGCCAGTTCGGAGCTCTCCCTGGGATCTTGTACGCGTCCAGGATGGTCTGATAGCGCCTCGCCAGCACTTCGAAATTGGCCAGCGCGGGTGCGTTCAACTGGTCGAACGTGGAGGCGTAGAACATCATATCCACTAGGCAGGTCAGCTCATGCATCACTCTGTCGTTCACGTCCAAATGCTTCGTCCGCGCCCACAGCTGAAGCCACAGGCGCGGGTCCCCCCGCTGCGATCGATGTGTTTTTCACCACCTGCAGGTAGGTCGACGGGCCCTCTAAGGGCCAATGCTGGTCGGGGACGTGGAAGCTCTCTTGGACGGCCTCGCGATACGACTTGTATCTTTCGCCCTGATCATCATAGTCTATCCGCAACGTGCGTGCATCCTCGGCCCCGGGACGCGGTGTCGCCGTGCCGCCGGCGACGTCCGTGCCGGCTGGGCCAGGCGGAGGCTCCGGCGCCGGCGGCATCAGAGCACCCGCTCCTGCTGGCTGCAACTGGGCGGCCAGCTCCTCCTGGCGGGCACGCATGGTCTCGTCTAACTCCGTCAGTGGCACGAGTCCAGCGCGTCGGCCCTGGCCGTGGCGGATGACCATCGCGCCGTAGTCCGAGAGCCTGTAGTCGTCGAAGCTGAGATTCACCTCATCGCCAAGCCCGCCAGCCCGACCGCCCTCCATGCGCAGCCAGGCGTAACCCCTCGGGGTGTCCTCCGGGCCTCGCTGGGGGTACTCCTCGACCAGCTGTCCCTCAGGCGCCGCCGCGGGCCCCGCTGCGACACCCGCCGCGACCCCGGCGGCTGCATCGGCTGGGGGCCCGTCGCCCGCCGCGGGGGCCGCCGCCGTTGCGCCACGGCGCAGCGGCAGGCGGCGGGGCAGGAAGCGGCCGCCGAACATGGAGTCCAGGGGAACCACTTCTCGATCTGGCATCACTGCGTCTGTGACCTCGACCGGCGGATCGCCCGCCGCGGGTTCGCCCTCCAGGGCCAGGCGCCGCCCCTCCCGGATGTAGCTCTTCAAATCGTCCAGGGGCAGGGCGCCCGTGAATCGGTACACTGGTTTGTCGAGCGGAGGCAGCCGCCCCGTCGGCGCCCTCGCTGCCATCCAGCACTTCGGCATACATGTCTAAATCGGGGGTCAGGATGACCCACTTGTCCCGCGTCTGTGGCCACAGCGCGATCCTCTCGTGGTACACGACGTCCGCGTCGTACCATGCCAGGAACCGCTTACCTGGAAGGAGGCGCCTCAAGCACGCCTCCCCCGCGTCGAGCCCAACGAGCGCCATGACTCACACGACCCCGTCCGACAACCCTGACTGCCACACTCTTCGCCGCAGCGAGAGCCGTCTGGACCACCCAGCTGGCGATCCCGATGGCGGCGACCTCCTCCCAGCCCAGCTCCACGGCCGGGCACTCTGGGCACGGCGCCGCCTCCGGGCACCTGGGGCAGGCGCACGGCTCGGCGTCCAGGCACGGCACCGCCTCCGAGCAGCTGCACTCGCAGCTGGGCGGGTCCGGGCCCGGCGGGCCCGGCGGGCAGGGCTGCCTCCGCAAACTCAGCGAGAGCACAACGGCGGTGATGGGGCCGCTCCAGAAAGCAGGAAAGCCCTGGGGTTGCATGCAGCTCAAGGCCGCAGGTCGTAGAGAAAGTCCTCGAGCCAAAAAGAGCAGCTACACAGAGAGCTGACTGGTAGGACCAACCTTGCCCAGACAGTGCAAGCACGACGGAGCGAGGACCCCAGGGAGCGAGGCACGATTATCAGGACGCACACGCACCGAGAGAAGAAGGGTCCACGGGAGCAACGACAAAGGCGTTCCTGGCATCATGAATGTGCCCTCACTCCCATCATCATCATCAGCATCATCATCATCATCATCATCACCATCATCAGCATCATCAGCATCATCACCATCATCAGCATCATCATCATCAGCATCATCATCATCATCATCAACATCATCATCATCAACATCATCATCAGCATCATCATCATCATCATCAACAGCAGCATCAACATCATCGTCCTTATCATAATCCTCATCATCCTCCTCATCCTCATCCTCATCCTCATCCTCATCCTAATCCTCATCCTCATCCTCATCCTCATCCTCATCCTCCTCCTCCTCCTCAGCATCAGCATCAGCATCAGCATCAGCATCAGCATCAGCATCAGCATCAGCATCAGCATCATCATCATCATCATCATCATCATCATCATCATCATCATCATCATCATCATCATCATCATCATGCCTTCCTGCCCCTCCTCCCACCCTTCCACATCTCCTCTCACCCCCTCTGCTGTCGCACAGGAGCGGCGCACTCCTCCCCCTCCCGCGTCCTCGGCGCGCCACCTGCCTACGGAATGCGTGGGCACGTCGAACTCGCAGCCCTGCAGGGTCACCGCCGTGGCCGCGAGCAGCAGTACCAGGACGGCGCGGGAGCAGCCCTTCGCTAGGGGCGGCAGGCCCACGAGAAGGATGGGAGGACGAGGAGGAGGAGGAGGAGGAGGAGGAGGAGGAGGAGGAGGGGGAGGAGGAGAGACGGGAGGAGGAGGAGAACGAGGAGGAGGAGGAGATGGAGGAGGAGAGAGGGAGGAGGAGGAGGAGAGGAGAGAGGGAGGAGAGACGAGAGAGAGAGGAGAGACGAGGAGAGACGAGGAGAGACGAAGAGGAGAAGGAGAAGGGTCGAGGAGAGGAGGAGGAGGAGGAGAAGAGGAGAGAAGGATTGGAGAAGGATTGGAGGAGGATTGGAGAAACGAGGATTGCAGGAGGAGAGGATTGGAGGAGGAGGATTGGGAGGGGAGGAGAAGGGCGGAGGAGGAGGAGGAGGATGAGGATTGAGGAGAAGAGGATTTGGAGGAGGAGGATTGAGGAGAGGGAGGAGGAGGAGGAGAGGAGAGGAGGAGGAGGAGGAGGGAGGAGGAGGAGGGAGAGGAGGAGGAGGAGGAGAGAGGAGGAGAGGAGGAGGGCGGCTGTGGGGCCGGTCCGGCGGCCAAGTCGGATTGGAGGAGAGAGAGGAGAGGAGAGAGGAGGAGGAGGAGAGGAGGAGAGAGAAGGAGGAGAGGAGGAGGAGGAGGAGGATTGGAGGAGGAGATTGAGGAGGAGGAGGAGAGGGCGGAGGAGGAGGAGGAGGAGGAGGAGGAGGAGGAGGAGGAGGAGGAGGATTGGAGGAGGGATGGAGGAGGGATGAGGAGGAGAGAGAGAGAAGAGAGAGGAAGGAGGGAGGAGGAGGAGGAGGAGGAGAGAGGAGGAGGAGAGAGGAGAGGAGGAGGAGAGAGAGAGGAGGAGGAGGAGGAGGAGGAGGAGGAGGAGGAGGGAGGAGGAGAAAGAGGGAGAAGGGAGGAGGGAGGAGGGAGGCGGAGGGAGGAGGGAGAAGTAGGAAGAAAAACAAGAAAACAATGAGTATGAGGGCGCCCAACGTGGTGGTCAGGCACCGGTCTGGCCCCCTGCCGAAGGCAGTCGCTGCGAAGCCTCGGCGAAGGACGAGCAGCGATGACGGCGCCAAGCCTGCAGCCTGGTGGCCGTGCGTCGCCTGGTGCTGCGCGCCCGTGGTCCACAGCATCTCGGTTGATGCGCGCAGGCGGACCTCCTTCCTCGTCTTGAAGATCCTGGCGAGGCGAGCGCGGGCCGACTGAAAGCGGCCGTTCGCCTTGCGCCGACAGCGGCGCCGCCCGCACACGATGCCAACGCCGAAGTGCACCGCCTGCGGAGCGCACGGGGCGGGGATCCCCAGGCGGGCCAAGCCCGCGGTCATGGCACGTCCGAGGGCGGGGTCGGAGCAGACCAGCGCGGTCCTGGGCGACACCACCAGGCCCGCCTCGCCCAGCCCCTCCTGGAGCGCGACGGCGGACCCGTAGGTGTCCTCCTGGACCATCTTGCGCTTGCCCGCGGCTCGCATGACGGCGTCGTCGCTGGACGTCCACGGCTGGGCGCGCTCGCACGCGCGACGCGCTCGAGCGATGGTCGGGCCCCAGCAGCATCTGCGCGAGCCTACCTGACTACCTACCAGACCACCCCAACCCAACCCGAAGACCCGAATTTCGGGTTGGGGGGGGGGGGGGTACGGGTTCCATACGTGTTTTCTCAGTGTTCCCCGACCCCCCCCCCCACTGGAAATGGACGGCAAATTGAGACCTTCGGGTTGGGTTGGGGTGGTTTGGTGGGTGGTGACTACCGCCGTGGCAGGGGCCCGCAACCACGGAGCGCTGCGCCTGCAGGCGAGGCCCCAGCCAGGCTCGCCGCCGCCGGCGGCGCGACCCTGCGAAGAGCCGGACCTCCATGGCCGCCACGATGGCGGGGAGGCCCTGCTCCAACACCCCTCCGCGAAACTTCACGCAAGTTCTTCCCGCGCCGCGTCGGCACCCCCCAAAACCCCAAACTTTCATGTTGATGCCGAAACACGCGACTCGATTTTTTCCGCCGGCGTCCGCGGACCGCGACGCGCGCGCAAGTCTACATTGAAATTGGGGGCGCGGGGGTGGGAAAACTTGCGTTAAGTTTCGCGGAGGGTTGAAGGACGCGAGGGGCAGGCGTCTGAACGAGATCGTGAGCAGCATTCCCACGGTGCGGTCCCCTCCCTGCCTCTTGGGGATGGCGCACCCGAGGACCGCAGAGACAGCTGCCCTGGCCACACGCCTTCCTCCTCGCAGGAGTCGGTCGGCGGCTGTCGATGCCCCGCGCCTTGCCTGTCGAACGCGCAAGTGTCTTGACGCCCGCGGAAAGCCATTGCGCGACTCGCGGAACGAAGAAAGCCAAGGAGCCCTGACGAAAAACGCTCGGTTTCTTGATGCGCGTCCCCACTGTATGGCGAAGGGCCTGCCCAATCTGCTCGCTGGTGATCGGCGGCAAGTCCTCGTCTCGAGTTCGGCGCGGCGCAGCACCTCGCCAATCGTCTCGACGAGCTCTGCCTCGTCGAAGGTGGGGTCGCTCCAGACGCTCTCCCGGTACAAGGTCCTGCTCTGCATGATCGCGTCGGGGTCTGAAATGCTCAGAAGCAGCTCGGGGACCTTGGCGCCATGCGCGTGGCCGGCAGTCTCAAGTTGCTCGACCTCAGGAGCCTTGACATGTCGATGGACTCGGCCAGGCCGCTCCTTCCATGAGGTGGTAGCTCAGAGTGTGAAGCCGTTGCAAGCATTTTCCAGACTGCGGCCCAGCGGGAGGAGGGCAGGAAGGCAAGGGATGAGGAAGAGGAGGGAGGAAGACGAGGGAAGAGGGCGAGGTAAGGAGGAGAGAAGAAGAGGAGGGAGGATTAGATTAGCCTCTGCGCTGCGCGCGATCCACCACTACCACTGGATGACGTTTACTTCCCTGGCCAGCTTCGCGTGGCTCGGGGCAGGTACTTCCTCGATCGCCTTTGGAAACTGCTGCCCCGTACGCGTGGGAGGCGCAAGCTCGTTAGTCAGCTTGCCAGTCGAGCGGACATGGTCTGTGCTTATGTTACTCCCATCGTACTTCAGGACCACATCACAGAAATCATTTCGAGCACCCAGAAAAGTGTCGAAACAATGTCGAACGAGTGTCGCCTCCCAGGGCCCGACACGTGAAAACCCTCAAGTTTCGGTACTTTCTTGGTGCTCGAAACTGTTTCTGGCGGTCAAGGCTAAAGTAGGTTGGAACATCATAAGTCTATGCCCAGACCGCTGCACCTCGAGCGAGCGAAAATCAGTTCATTCCCTGAGTCCGTCCCAGCTTCCCACCACCGCACAGCACGGGAGTGCTGCGCCGTGACGAGACCGCCTAATAGGCCCCACCTCTCGTGGGGCACTGGCAGCAGGCCCGACAATCCTCGGGGCACGGCAGGGCGAACGGAACCATTAAAGCACGGCGGATTTGCGCACCGTCGGGTCGGTTCTGAACCACACGTGCGACAGTGCCACCAGCGACGGCGACGCCCACTCGACTCACTACCGCCGACCAGGTGCACCGTGTTCTGAAGGGCTGCTGGCAGGCTGAGCTTCCGCCGAGCCGCACCTTGGGCAACAGCTCTTTCCTCGGCGCCAGCCGATGCGGGCATCCAAGACAAGATTGAGGTGTACCGCCTCGAGCTCTTTCAAACTATTGGCAGCTCCCTGCGAGACCTGAGCTTCTGGGGAAAATCAATCGGCCGACTTGTCAGCCAAATCGTTTCAAGGAAAAAGCGCACGCTGCTCTGGGCTGGCCTTTTCCAGCTCCGCATCGGCCGAGTGGCTCCAAACCTGAACGGCCTGGACATCTCTGCTCTGCATCAGCTCTCGCACGAGGTTCCACAGGTCATGATTCTTCTCGGGCCTCCAGCGGGCCTTGGCTCTCAGACTAAACAATCCACGGACAAAGTAGGCAACACAAAACAAGTGGAGAAGAAGGGCCCGGCATCGAGGGAGGAGGGGAGGAAGACAAGGGATGGCACAGAGGAGGGAAGAAGACGAGGGCAGACGTGGAGGAAGGAGGAAGAGGAGGGAGGAGAGGGGAGGGAGAGGGAGGAAGACGAGGAGGATGGGGAGTACAGTAAAAGGGCACCAGCCCTCGGCGACCCCCACGGTCAGGCCTTCGGCGCCAGCGCAAAGCGACTCAGGCCGCGTGCTGCCACGCCAACCGCCCAAGCGCTCACCTGGGGATGCGCCGGCCCGGAACTCGCGAAGATGCACCAGGGCTCCTCCTCCTCCCCCTCCTCCACAATACACAATCTGAATACTACTCTCTCCTCTCTCCCCTGATGACGTCCGGAACGTATTCGCCCCACTTCGCGCACTGCTTTTTACACACAGAATTCCCGGGAACTGGGCTTTCGCATGGGATTTGTTTTCAACATGTTGCTCCCGCCGAAGCGTTGGCCTCATTTTCGGCTTTAATCGTGCTCCCGCTGCAGCGCTGGCCTCATTTCCGCGCTTCCGCTCATTCCGAATCGTGCTCCCGCTGCAGCGCTGGCCTCATTTTCTGGTTTTCATATGTGTTTTTGGTAATCCGATTCTTTTCGGTCCTTCAAAGTGTTGCTCCCGCTGCAACTCTGGCCCCACTTCTGCGCCTCTGGTTGTTCCAAAATGTGCTTCCGCTGCAGCGCGGGCGTTTTCAGTCCTTCCGAAAAGGCCCCAAATCTAAGAAATCACCTCCAGAACAAAAACATCGCAAGTGATTACACATCCGGTTGTCGATTCGTTGCGTTGAATTTTTGGGCCGAGGAAGGCCCCCCCCCCAGTTCGGTGCGGCAGCGTTTGGAAGAAGTATCAAGCGGGAGACCCGTTTCTGCTTTCAGAAGGCGATGTTGCAAACAGAGCCAGCGGGTGCTCTCCATCAGCGCCGCCTTGTGGGGAGCGTGTCGCGGAGCCCAGCGAACTGAGCATGGAGCCGCGACTCCAGACTGGCTGGTCCCGACCCTTCGAAGACTAGCCACTTACCCTCCAAGGAACCCGGTGCCCTGCCATGAATGGCTGTGCGGTGTTGTGTTCTGCGCCGCTGTGCGATGCCATGTTTTGCGTTGCAATGCTTTGTGATGCAATGCTCCACTACGCAATGCCACGCCATGCTATGACATTCCACGCTCTGCCGTGCTCTTCTACGCCATGCCATGGCGTGCTCTACGATGCATCGCGCACCCTCTGGCGATCAATGCCCTGCTCGACATCCGACCGTGCGAAGAGAGGAGATCTACGCTATGGTAAGGGATGCGAGGGATGGGTAGGAGGTCAGATATGACGCGAGCGCATCTAGCTTGTCCTGCTCCCCCTCCCCCTCCTCCTCCCCCTTCGCCTCCCCCTCCTCCTCGAGCATGCTTCTTCTCCTCCTCCTCCTCCTCCTCCTCCTCCTCCTCCTCCTCCTCCTCCTCCTACTCCTCCCCTTCCCCCTCCTCGAGCATGCTCTCCTTCTTCTCCTCCTCCTCCTCCTCCTCCTCCTCCTCCGTCCTTCTTCCTTATCGCACCCTCGGACGTGTTGGTAGGGCGGGCCAGGCGTTTCGCCTGAGACTTCCTCACCGTTTGTGATCCGGAAGCTTGAAATTCGCAACATGTTCACGGATGGAAAGCGGCCCGTTTGCAAAACGTGGCTCTGGCCTCAGCCCCGCGCGCATTCACTTACAAAAGTGCAACAGTTTCACGGATGAAGGGCGTGCCGTTTTCAGAATGTAGTTCTCGCAGCAGCATCGCTCACATTCGTCTTCACGGTGTTCAGCAGCTTCATAGCGTCGCGCACATTCGTCTTAAAAGTGTGCAACTGTTTCACGGATGAAGGGCGGTTCTTGTTTAAACGTGGTTCTCGCCTCAGCGCCGCGCTCATTCGTTTTGAAAGTCTGCGAACATTTGAAGGGCTCGCATCGTCGAAGTCCCAAGAACGGTGTTCTGGCAAGATTTAGAGCTGTCAGAACACGATAGTCATGTTGATTCGCGGTGTTGAAGTCCCAGGTGTGGTGTTCTGGCACAGTTGAGGGTTGGCAGGACGCAGCAGTCACGTTGACTCGCGACGCTGAGGTCCCCAGAACGGTGGTTGTGGCACCTTTGAGGATTCTCAGACGTTTGTTCCCTACCTAAGCTCTGCCTAGAAAGGTTCTTACCCTCTAGCTTAAAGGGGCCGGGCAATGTAACCCGCCCCAGGCGGTTCCCCCGGCATCCGCCCCGCGGTTCCCCCAGTTACGTCCCCTTAGCTTAGGGTTGCTTATCTCATCTCATCTTAGCTTAGCCTATTTCATCTTAGTTTAACTTAGCTTCATCTTAGCTCAGGTTTATCTTAGTTTAGCTTACCTTCGTCTTAGCTTCGCCGAGCTTTAGCATAGCAGAGCACAGCAGAGCCTACCATAGCGTAGCATAGCATAGCATAGCACAGCATAGCATAGCGTAGAATAGCACAGCATAGCATAGCATAGCGCAGCATAGCATAGCATAGCATAGCAGAGCATAGCGTAGCATAGCATGTCATAGCATAGCCCAGCATAGCATAGCATAGCGCAGCATAGCATAGCAAAGCATAGCATAACGCAGCACAGCACAGCACAGCACAGCACAGCATAGCACAGCGCAGCATAGCAGAGCATAGCACAGCAGCCAAGCAAAGGCAAAGCAACAGCAGCGACAGCAAAACAAAGCACAAGCAACGCAAAGCAAAGCAAAGCAAAAGCAAAAGCAAAGCGAAGGAAAGGCAAAGAAAAAACAATGTGCGACAGATGCCGAGCTAGCCTCGATGGCCGGACCGGAGCCCCCGCAAGCAGTGCCTTCCGTAACCATTTCGGCTCAAGTTTTTTAATTCCCTACCTAGGTTCTGCCTAGAAGGGTTCTTACCCTCTTTGCTTAAAGGGGCCGGGCAGTGGTCCTCGCCCCGGGCGGTTCCCCCGTCATCCGCCCCGCGGTTCCCCCAGTTACGTCCCCTTAGCTTAGCGTTGCTTATCTCATCTTAGCTTAGCTTATTCCCTACCTAGGCTCTGCCTAGAAGGGTTCTTACCCGGGCAGTGTAACTCGCCCCGGGCGGTCCCCCCGGCATCCGCCCCGCGGTTCCCCCCGCTACGTCCCCTTAGCTTAGCGTTGCTTATCTCATCTTAGCTTAGCTTATTTCATCATAGCTTAGCTTAGCTTCATCTTAGCTTAGCTTAGCTTAGCCTAGCCTAGCTTAGCTTAGCTCAGCATAACTTAGCTTAGCTTAGCTTAACCTAGCCTAGCTTAGTTTAGCTTGGCTTCGCTTCGCTTAGCTTAGCGCAGCAGTAGCATAGCATAGCATAGCATATCATATCATTTCATAGCGCAACTTAGCATAGCGCAGCATAGCATAGCATAGCATAGCAAAGCAAAGCATAGCATAGCGCAACATAGCATATCATAGCATAGCATAGCATAGCTTAGCATAGCACAGCGCAGCATAGCATAACATAGCATATCATAGCATACCATAGCGCAGCATAGCATAACATAGCATAGTATAGCGCAGCATAGTATAGCATATCATAGCATAGCATAGCGCAGCATATCATAACATAGCATATCATATCATTACATATCGAATCATGCCATATCATAACATATCATATCATAGCGCAGCATCGCATAGTATAGCATAGCGCAGCATAGCATAGCATAGCATAGCATAGCATAGCGCAGCAGATCATAACATAGCATAGCCTAGCATAACATAGCGCAACCTAGCATACCCTAGCATAGCATAGCATAGCGCAGCATAGCGCAGCAGGCGTTTACAATTACTACTAATATTGCTCTCCTCGGGGCTCCAACTCCTAGGTAGGGTCGCTCTGGGATAATTTTCCAATGGGGCATGTCCCGCAATGGAGATAAACCCTTGCAGGACCCTGTGAAGAGGGAACTTGGAGGGAGGGTGTATTGCAACATCGCTGATGCGTCTTAGGTTTACACTGGTCCTCTTCTTCCTCATCCTCCTCCTTGCGCATGCTCTGTTTATTCCAGGGGGTAATGCGCAGTAGTTGGGGGGAGCAAATCGGCAGGGGATAGCACGAAGCACCCCCACGCCCGGGATGCGTTATCCCCTCACCATCCCCCCTTGGGTCGCACCCCCTCGCGCGCTGGGCGTGCCTGATCCATCCCTGTGCGGGCACGAAGCGCAGGGGATCGGGCAGGGCCTGCGTGCACAACGATGCCTGCGCACAGTTCAGCGCCTGTGCGCACCTCAATGCCTCTGTGCGCAGCAGGTGCTGGTCCCCACCACAGCTGCTGCTGCCGCATCATCTACGTGCACCACGTCGCCTGCGTACACCACAATCCCTGTGTACACTAAAGCAGCCGTGTGCACCGCAGCGCCTGTGTACGCCACCATGCCTGCGTGCATTACGATGCCTGTGTGCACCACATGTGCTGCTTAAACATCACCGATGTGCACCACAATGCCTGTGTACACCACAATGCCTGCGTGCACCACAATGCCTGTGTACACTAAAAAGCCTGTGTGCACCTCCAAAGTCCCAAGGGAGCCCGATTCCGGAAACTCGCGCGGTGGGGGGGTGCGAACATATCACATTCAATACGTCAGCTATTTGAAATCATTGAATTTTCTAGCCTGGGGTACGGTCCCCTGTAAGTTGGGCCCACAACGCCTGTGTGCACCACACTGCCTATGTGCATCTTACTGCCTATATACACAGCAGTGCTTGTGTACACCGCAGGGCATGTGTGCACAACGATACCCTTGTACACCACAAGGCCTGTATACACCACTATGCCTGTGTACACCACCCATGCTGCATCAACAGCTGTGTGCGCCACAGCGCGCCTGTGTACACCACACTGCCTGCTGGTGTACACAAGCACTGCGGGCCCAACATACGGCGGGGGCCGCACCCAAGGCCAGAAACATCTAGAATCACAAATAACTGACACATTGAATACCTCCGCCCCCCCGCGATGTTCCGAATTTGGGTCCCATCGAGACTCCTGGAGGTGCAGACACGACGACGTCTCCAGACTGCTTGCGATCACCACAAGCGTGCTTGCGAGCACCACAGTGCGCCAGTGAACAAGAGCAGCAACACACATATGCACAATAGTGTGCTGGACTTGGCCAGTTCCGAAGTGTATGTTAGCTCGATCGCCACGTAAAACCACAACATGCCCACGAACACAACGGTGCGCTTGCAAGCAACATCCGCAAAACACGAATGCACAAGTG